TTTTGATTGATTTGATTGGTTAATTATCACGGGAAATCACGGGTAGATCTACCAATCATATGAATGTCGTCCTATGACCTATTACCAGTATATATCGATTATTGGTAATATATCGTTATATATCTTAAATTATCGATAAATGCCGTTTTTATCTTATCGATATATATCGATTTTTTGCTATATATTGATATGTATCTATATAAAAAATTTTCTAATGTTTTTCTCTCTATTATACAAAAGTTTTGTCAAGATATTAATGCAATCTATCTACAAAAGATTATTTTCATTTGCTGTAAACTTATCTTTCAAATTTCAAAGTAGTATAGCTATATACTGATTCTAGCATATTAAATAATACTGATATATCAAAGATTACTTAAAAGCCCTTTATTTAGCTTCATTTTTTTTTCTCAAACAAACTATTTTATTGATTTCATTAAAAAAGAAACTCAATTGATCATTTTTGTCTTCAGCAATTATCTTAAGCTAAGAAAATGTAACAATAGGTAGATTGTTGCTTATAACTTCTCTTTCAAAAATAATATTGATTAGTAATGAAATAAACTCAGACATAGAAAGATTATCATTATGATGCCTTTTTAATACTCTTGTCTATTCAGCTACATGTTTTTCATAAATGCTTAACCCATTTACTATGATTGTGTTATAACAGATTAAGCACATATACTCATTCTTATGATCTTTGTAATATAACGCCAATATTCTGTTAGTCTCTGCCTTAGTCAACATGTAATTAGCTTTTTTTTTTTTAAAGTAGGTTAATTTGGTAGGTTTTGAGAAACTACAAGTATAAAAAATACTTTAATCTGTATAAAAAATCAAAAAAATTTTATTAAATTGGCTAAACCACCATATCAATCATCCAATTTAGGTTTGTTTGCTATGCTGGAGTAGACACTTTCTGATATAGTATTGGTAACTAATTTTTTTTTCCTTTAATAACCTTGTATTAATTTATTAGACTTTTAGCAATTTATAAAATTAAAATTAATTATCAATATTGGTAACTAATTAAATATATTATTATTTAATTTGTACTTATAATAAAGTACTTGAGCTAATTTAATTAGTATTACTTACTTTTATAAAAAGGTACTTATTTTTACTATATAAAATTATTATAATAATGTTAGTAGACTTTTGGTAATACTATGCAAATAAGCCCAGCGCAGCTTATGCTGCGCCAGGCTTTTTTTGGCTATAGTATTACCAAAAGTCTACTAATATTATTTATAATAATCTTTTGATTAAATCTAAATTTAGAATATTCGAATTGGTAAAATTAACTTGAAGAAAATTTTTAACATATTTTAATAATTATTAAAAAAAATCGTTAAAAGCTTTCTACATTACTGGTTTCTCTTATTTACAGTAAAGCCAAGCGACATAGAACTGTTACTATACCAGAGCTTGAGCTAGTGCTCAAGGAATTCATACTAATCTATTAACACCGCACTATTATAATAAAAAACAACTAAATAGTGAATAATAAAAATAAAAACATCTAAGCCGCAGTAAAATAATTAATGATATTTTATAAAAACTTCAAAGTATTTAGATTTTTGCAAAAACGTATTTGCATCTTTATGTATTATAATTTTATAATATAATATAAAAAATTTTTATTATGTTTGGTAATTCAAAATTAAAGTAATTAATATATATTTTATAATAAAATATATATACTATTTAAATTTATAATATAATATAAATTTTATAATATTTTTATACTAATATATATAAAAAACTTTATTTTTTATATATGATTATTATAAAATTAAAGTAGTCTATATATTTTCTAATTAGGAAATAATTAATAGAACCAATAAAATTTGAAGCCAAGCCGTTATCAAAACTTTAAAAAAAATACTGCATATTGTACATATCAAAGTAATTTAAAAATGATAAAAATTTATTGTTATTGAAGCGAATTTTTTAAACAATCGATAGCAAAAAACAATTTGAAGTTGAAGTATTTGAAGCAATATATGAGAAAGAGTATATTGTTTTTACAAGATACGAAGATTTTAAAAAATATTTAACTAGAAATAATATAGTTAATAGTTCACTACGCAACTTTGATTATATTAAAAACAGAAGGCTTCAGAATATTTTGAACTTTCTCGAAGCACATATTAGAAGCTATTTCTATACTTATAATGAAGGATTAAAGTATGGAATTATAAACGATACAATTGATTTAATAGAATGGAGAAGAAAAGGTTATGAAAATGATTGTAAAAAATGGTTTGCCGAAATAAACTATGACTGTGAACAATATGGTATTAAATATCTTTTTTCATATAGCGATATTGAACAATACTGTGAAGAGTATTTGGCCTATTAACAATGTATAATATTTTTATATTGTACTATTTGTATATTCTATTTTTAGTTGTATATATTTATTTTTATATTATTTATTTTAATAAAATCTATTTTTAGATTTACAATTTAATTTCTTCTCAGTTTTTTGTTTTTTAATGGAAGAGGATTCGATGATTGAATTGATTTTTCGTTTCATCTTTACTAAATTAAAAAATAATTTTTAATTTTTATTTTTTTTGCCTCTACGCCGGTGGGCGTTGCTTTTCTCACAATTTCCTATTTGGGGCGAACATGCAATAAGGAAAAGATCAGCATTAACGATGCTACTTTATGGCTGGGCCCCTCACCTCCTAGCCATCAAGAAGCATCACACACTGATCTTTTAACTTAACAACTATAAATTATTACATTGTTACATTGTTATAAAATATTTAATATTTATTAAAATAAAAACAGACAAATGTGAGAAAAAAATTACAAAAAATAATCTTTTACTGTAAAATAAAAATAATATTAAAAATATTTAGTTTATTAAATATAATAAATAATCTATATTTTTTTTATTTTAAACTTTATAAATAATATAATTATTATTATGATTTTGTATACAGTATACATAAAATACATGTAGCCAACCAAACAAAATTATATTTGCCAAAAAATATTCAAAAATTCACAAGTGAGAATAGCTTGTTATAAAATTGTATGGAATTGCAAGTATCGGGATTAAAAATACGTTATAAATTTTTTTAAAATATCTATTTTCTTTGATCACTACGATATAATTTGATAAAATTGATTAAGTTTTGAAAAAATATATTGTTAAATTCCATGTCTTTAAAAATACCAAAAAATATTATTTCATCGATCCACTTTTCAAATTCTGTATAATTTTGATTCTTGTATAATGCAGCTCTATCTAAAGCCTCAGCAGTGACCACGTTTACAGTTACACGAACATTTTGAACTGCAAAGCTCATACGAAAACGCTTCATCAAAATTTAGCATCATTTCGTGAATATTTATTCGTTTGATCTGAAATTTTGCAGGCAAATCCACGAAACTCATCTGCACCAACTTCATTATTCGCGTTTCGTATGTTTACTTGTAGCAAAAAAAATTTTATTAGTATGCTTCGTATTGAAACGTATACAAAGGCATTACATCATGAGAAAAATTGCCGTCAACACGATTTCCCCCAAAATTTACTATGATGATTATCTTTTCGTCACTAACAAAACTTGTTCTTTGGCTCAAAAAAATGTTAGTTTCTTAGAACGACTTTCTACCTTTTTCTAACAAAATCTCGAGATACTTAACTTTGAAACTGGGGTGTTGAGTAAAAACGTAGGTCTTTAATTTTTACTCTGCGAGTTTTTGTCCGTTTTATGAAGAGAGAAATCAACTTTGCTTAATAACTTTAAGGTATAGAAACCTAAAAATTCAAAGCAAAATTAAATATTTAATTTCTGAATACTGTTCGAAGAACTTTTGTATTCGGGTTGAGATTTTATCTGAGCTAAACTCATAGGAAATTGGGTCTTTATATAGATTTTTATTCGGCTAAATGTTTTTTCTAAATCACATGATGACTCAAAATTTCTATTCGGAAAATGTTTTCCGAAGTGTTGACTCAACATTAAAAAAAAAATAGGCCGGTGAGTTAGATTTTTTTTAGGCCAAACAAAATGACTCACCAGCATTAAGCTTAATTCGGGCTGGTGTCGTGAGTCATCTATAACCTAGAAAAAAAAAATTTTTAATTATAGGATTAACTCAAGTCAAATGATTTGACGCACTATATATAAAGAGACAATTTATTTGATGTATATAAATGTACTTATTTTTACTATATAAAATTATTATAATAATGTTAGTAGACTTTTGGTAATACTATGCAAATAAGCCTAAAAAGGTTTTAAAAAATTGCAGAGACACTCTGCCTTTTCCCAATTATTATTCAGAAACATAATTGGTTTAAAATTAGCATCTCTAAATATAAAATGTTTAAATATATATCTATACAGAATTGTGAATAACAGTATTATAAGAATTCTAGCAAGTGATTATGTCAAGAGCTGGTTGCTAGCTTGAGACAAGCTCATTACAAATTTCAACAACAAAATCTTCAAAGTTTTGCTATTGACATCTTGAACTATAAATTTACTTTAATCTATAACACCAACTACAAGTAAATAAATCAGCTCTTTTAAAACCATGTCTATATATCCTAGTTATAATAAATCAAAAGAGTTAAAGTTTTATTAAAATAACTATATTAATTATACTAAATTTAATTTACAGTATTTACATTTAGCAGAATAAAAAATTGACTTTTAATACTAATTAGATGCCTTCTTTATCCTTTGCTATATCTATATTATATTTTTAAAATTTCTAAACCTATCTATATTAATACTCTATCTAGCAAATTTTAATTATTAATCAAATACTTTTTTTTATTTTGAGCAGGCTGATTGTTTAATACAATAAAATTGCTACTTTAGCAAAGTTTAAATATTATTTAAATATTTTATTTTTTATCCATAGCTATATTTATAATTATATATTAGAATTGCCTTTTAGCTAATTTTAAATACCATTTATATGCTTTCTTAGCCAATTCAAGATCATATTTTTATTCTTTTGAACATTATCTAATTTATTAAAATGAGTTTACTTAGTTATATTTTTATAATTTGTCAGTGTGGTTATATGTTTAATCAATTGACTGATTAGTATTGTTAAGTAAGTATAAGGTAATTGTTACTTTTAGTAAAGTAATTATTTTGTAATTGGTAACTTGTATAAGCTTCAAATTAAAAATCCTTAATAATCTATTAAAATAAATTCACTTAGTTATATCTTCATAGTTTGTAGCTTTAAGTAGATATTATTTTCTTGATAGAAGCATTGTCTGAATTAATATTATTAATATTTAATTCTAATGAAATTAGATTTCTAAGATATGTAAAAATAGCAGAAAAAAGAGCTTTGCACCTTTACAATTAATCTTATTATATTAAAAAGTAAAAGTTGTTGAAAATCTTTAATGCAATTATCAACATTCTTATTTTCTTTTGCTTATTCTTACATGTTTGACTTCAAACTAGTATATGTTATATTGATTATAATATACACATTTTTCCTTTAATATTAATCAAACCTAAAATAAAACTAAAAGTAAATTGCATATAGTACTGTATTTACTATTAGTTAATTTAATATAACAAAAACTGGGCTAGTTTAGAGAAAGCTAACCATGTTATATTAGAATCAATTAAAATCTTAGACTATTTTACTTACCTTATCCACAATGTCTTTAACTATTTTAAGCCTACTAATAACATAACTATAAGGTTTAGTATGTGAGTATAACAATGTTAATACAACAGAATTCTATTTGCAACAAGTATATTTTGTTTATCTAACTTGTGCTTTATATAGATCATAACAGCATTGTTATTAGTTGCATTATTTAACATAACTGCTAATATCTGTAAAAGTGTTAGTATACATATACCTATAAAGAAATTGGCAAAATTACTAAATACTTGCTTTAGATATGATATCCCAATCCTCAAAACATTTAAAAAACATATTACTAATAATAGCTTCTGTATATGGTGAAGGAACTAATTTAAATACCAAAAGTAGTTTTCGAAAATTCTAATCTTTATTAATGAAATAGTCTAAAAAAGCATAACAATTAAACAACTACATAAAAATAAATGGTTGATCTTTAGTATAACTAGGAAATATAGAATTATTATAATATTATAATATATAAATATAGTATTTGAATTAATTTAAACAAATTTGAGATTAGTTAGAGTTAGTTAAGGGTTATAGTAAAGTTTATAGTTAGCTCTAGGGTTAAAGTTAGAGTTTTTTTATATTATAATTTTATAATATTTCTATATTGTTCAGCTATACTAAAGAAGATCCAATAATTGTAAATAAAATATTTAATATTAATTTATTTAAACTTTTATATGACAAATTATTTTTGATAAAATGTCCTTTCTAAAAAACCAATAATGGTTCTTTACCAAATTTATACTTTTTTGTAGCAGAAACCACTTAAGAGATTACTTCAATATTTTTATCTGAGACCACTTTATCTAAGACCACTTTACCTTCACTAACAGAATCTATAATCATTCCTATATAAGCAATATTGTAGACTACATGTATAGTTACTTCAATATAATAATATATTACTTTTTTTCAAAAAAAAAAAGCTAATTTTTTTTTTATATAATTTTTTAAAATGTTTTATTTTTACATGTTTTATTTCTTAATCAAAATTTTTATTTTCCCGTCAAAAAAAAAAAAAAATAGAATAACTAATAATAAAAATATATACTAGAGAAAATAGAATTAAATTAAAAATTGAAAGAAAAAAAATTTTTAAATATTTTGATGTGCTAAAAAATTATTTCTTTTAATTTATATTAGTAAGTGCATATATTAGTAAGCACAAATTTAATTAACTTAATTTAGATAAAAGATATCTATATTGATAACAGTAAGTATAAATAAATATCTACAGTCAAACCTTTATAAATACAGTTTCCATAAATGCAATATCTCTCTAAATACACGTTTTTGGTTTGGCTATAAGAAATTATTAATCATTCTATATTCTACAAATACACATTTACTCAAAAGATTTTTTATATCATACTACATCACAAAGTTATAAAAGTTATAATTATCTAGTTGATTAACCCCATAGTTAATTAACTAAAAAAAAGTTGTTAAATAGGGGCTTTATTAAACATCACAATGTATATACAGTATAAACATCAAGAATTTATATTATTTGATGTTTAACTTCTAAATACTGTAGCATACTATATGTATATATATATTAAAACTAAAAATATACAATATATTTATTATTATTTTTTTAATAACAAACAACACTAAAAATAATTTATATATAATAATAATATTTAATATTATAATAAAAGCTTTATACATCACGTGTAAAGACAGAAAGGTGCATAAAAT